GTTGGGCGTTTTGCACTGTTTGGTTGCGCTGATGTTTAAAGTACAGCTAAAATATAATTTTCTTTTTCCCCTTCCTTAGTAGTTAACAACCACTAAGTGCTCACCACGCGCTTTATGGAGCATATGGAGTTAATCCCACCCAAACCGATAGCTAGAGTCAGTTACAAACCTGCCCTGGATTTACGGCAAATACTTTTTTTTAAGTAAATGGACTACCGGTTGAGTCCATTAGGAATGTGTTTGCAACACTGAGGTGTTTCTTATGCTAATATTTTTATTTTTATTTTTGGTGTGTTTTTTTTTTCCGGTACCGGAAGTCGAACTCACGACCTCGCGCTTGCCAGGCAAGAGTTGTGCCTCTGAGCTAAATCCCCAGGCCCCGCTAATATTTTTAAAACCAAAAACTGATATCTTTCACATATCCAAATGACTTGAAGCAGTTGGTGGAAAGCACATTAACATCTATTGACCCTGCAGATTAAAGAAAAGAAAGAAAGAAAGAGAATGTTGAGAAGAGTTGACACACCCCGTAAGGGCATCCTTGTACTGGATCTGCTTCTCTTGGGAGTAAACGGTTAGTAGATTATCAGGCTGGGGAGAGAGAGAGAAGCGATCCTAGAGACGCCAGAGGAACACGGCCGCAGAGAGAGTCAGAGCTGTTCTTGCTCTTGCAGCACGCTTGAGTTTATGCCTGTGTGACTCCAGACACGGTGCCTGTGATGCTTCCTATCTCGATGTCCCGCCCGAAGCCCTCGAGCTCCCAGGGAATCCCGCGGGTGACAACAGCTGACTTGCTGTTGGAGGCGGGTCACTGCAGGTGGGACCTGGGAGGGAGCATTTCGCTTCTCCCTGTGCTTCCTGGCTACCGCGATGTGGGCAGTTTGTGTCCGCCGTGCCCCTGTGTCCTGTCTTTCCTGCTCTGGGAGCCAGCAGGCCGTGGATTAGAAACAGGAGCCAAAGTAAACCCTGCTTCCTTTAAGTCGTGTGCACCTCGGTGATGAGGGCTGCCTGAGACGGTGTGCACGGACACCGCGCTAGTCTTGACATTACTTTGCAGCCTCAGGAGCTGACTTAAGATTTGGTGAAAAAGGCAGTATAGGTGCTAGGGGGCACATGATGGAAATATGTCTTGTATTATTTTCTGTGATAATGTGATTGATCATAAACAATTTCATTTCATTTACATATAATATGTCAAATGCGTGGTTTGCTTCGAAGTGTTGCCTTGGGTATTTTAGCAATAATTCCAGTTGCTACTGGCTTAGCAGAACTAAGTTTTCCAAATTAAAATTATTAAAATCCCAAAGACTAAAACGGATCAAGGAAGTCTGTTTCATTTGACATTCCCGTGTCTGCTGATCTGCACAGCACCCATGTGATCTGTCTGGAAACTCCATTTCTGAGGCCCCTCTTCCCTAGGTGACACCAGGGCAGAGCTGGTCCGAACAGAACCTCGCGTGGGATGCGGACGTTGGAAACGAAGGCACAGCCATCACAGGATACTGGACACAGGATACTGGATATTGGATACAGGATACTAGGTACTTCCCTGGGATAACAGACAAGCAAGCACAACCGTCCTGGGAGATGCTGGTCCTTTCTCTCCTCTCCTTTTTCCAGCTTGTCCTTCCAACTGGTGGTCATTCCAAACACAGTGGCCCACGGCCAACACTGGCACCTACCACGGTGACGGGGCTCCATGCAGACATCCGACGGGTTTCCCTGAGGTCCAATGTGAGCAGTTACCTTTCCCACCAAGCTGTGACGTGACCATCCACGCCCTAAGAGGACCAGAAACTATCTTTCCTCTCTTCTTCCTCCTCTCCCTGCTGTCCGTCCAGATGTGCGAATGCTTACTGAAGTTCTGGTTCCTGACGACACGAACCTTAACTCTTATAGAGCTCAGGTCATCTGTTTTCATAACACAGGCCTGACTATGTGACACTGGACGGTACAGAAACTGTGCGACCGCCATGAGTCTGGCATCATAGTTAGTGATTTTTTAAAATTAAAGTAAAAAAAGAGAGCTAGATAGGGAAATCTGCATGGAACCAACTAAAAAATATACTTGCCTCTTTTTTAAAAATCTCTGGGGAAAAAGCTACCGCCGAACTAGTGGATTCTGCAGTGGCCCCGTTCCGCCATCTAGTGGACAGGATGGGAAATGTCAAATTTAGAGCCAAGTCAGCGATCTCATACTCTACGGTAGTTTCAAAATCTGAAGTTTGCCAGGAACGTGCTTTCTGACTGGGGTAATTCAAATTCTCTGTTAACTTGTTAACAGATTTCACTTGTAAACCTAGGTAACAATCAGAGGGCTATTCTCTAAGGATTAACACGGTTATCTGAGAACAGCAGAACATGCAATGGGAATACTTGGGCACAGGAAGTTGAGGCCAGGGCAAGTGTTTAAAGGTGAACTGAGGGTTACATGAGATATTTTGAAATAATAATCCTTAGGGATGAGGATCAATAACAAAGATCGAGTGAGACCTAGAAGAAACAAACAGTTGCTGGATAGATGTCCTTGTATTTCCCGCGTCAGGTGGTGGTGGCCTTTGGATAAGGTCTGGGTTCTGGCAGAGGCGTTTTCAAAATAGTTCTCGTCATCAGGCACGGATGCAAGAGACCCTCCTTCACAAACTTCTCGCTTTCTTATCATTTTGGTTAAGGCTTGACAAAAGCAATTTCATTTTGATTCTGCAAACTTTTACATATTCAGTTATCTAAAGCAAAACACCAGTGCCAGCCTTCCAGGACTAAAGCCCCGCAGTGAGTTTTCTCAGTCATCTGCTGTCTGCACTGGAGGAGCTGTGAAAATACCCTCCGAGAAGAGACCCAGGGCTTGGGTCCCCAGCGTGGATCTCCTCCGCTTGCCCCTGTATCTCGCCCTTCTGTCGCACTCCTGTTTATCCCACCGTGGACCGGAAGTGCCCGGGGGCGCCACAGCGCTGTCCTCCCTGCACAGTGTGAGACCTTGGCGGGGACCAGAGGCATTCAGCTCATTTCTAAGATGCACCCTGTGCTTGTAACCAGAGGGACTGCCCGGCACAAGCCCGTGTTTGGTTTTCTGCGGGTGTTTTCCTCTCTTGCTATTCAAGCTGTTCCTGACGCCCTCTTCTCCCTCCCTAGGTTTTATGAGAATCTCCTTTCTGTTTATGCTGATGAACTCAGGAGCAGGCAAATCCCCTCCACCACTTAGTCATGGGGCCCGGAAGCACCCAGTGTCCTTGTAAGACCCTCCGCTTACTGTTATTGGGATAACTGTTAATAACCACAGAGTGTGCTAGCTTTGAATTCCGACGAACTCAAACAAACCGTGCATTATTATACATGTTGGCTAATCCTCACACCACCCTTACAGCATAGTAGTATAATCCCCGTTTATGAGATAAGGAAATATGCCCAGAGAGGGCAAGTGACTTCCTTAGGTGACACAGCTGCTGGGGGGCAAGGCCAGAGTGGCTCCCAGCTCTGTCCCTACTTCAGGCTTCAGCTGCCCGGGGTAAGGAGGTTGCAAAGTCCTCAGCCCCCGGCACTGTCCGCCCTGAGCCGGCTCCCTCTGCCCGTCCCTCCATGACCCACGCTTGCACCAGTCACCCCAGCCAGGCCTCGGACCCCCGGCCACAGCGCTTCCCACAGTGAGCAGGAGCCTACAGAGCTGTCGCTGGGGCTGCAGGTCACTCTGGCCAGGGCGGCTCATTCTCCGGTCCACAGGCCGGAGGCCTCAGCTCTGGCTCTAGTCCCCTGCTTGCTTGATGGCCCTCACCACACAGCAGCTGGCTTCCCCAGAAAGACTGGCCAAGAGAAAGGGAGAGGACCCAGGCCTTTTAGGACCGAGCCTCAGAAGTCACGTGGACCACTTCTCCTATGATCCATCCAGCACACAAGGGCCCTAAGGTCCAGCCCTGCCAAAGAGAGGGGCATCACACAAAGGGAAGGTCATCACACAGAATTAGTGGACTTTTCTAAAACCACCACATCTCACTCATATCCTGGGACTTGGGTCTAGGGTGGGACCAGCCAGGTGCCCAAGACACAAAACTTCAGGAGGCCCTGGGTCCTGGGGTCATGCACGGCAGGGTCAGAGCACGGTGGACGTTCCACCATTATCAGCTTGCTAGAGGCTTGCGGTAAGTGGTCTTTCTTAAATCACTTCCGATTATTCAATTCTAACCCTTAGAAATAAATTGTCATGGATATTGGCGTTTCCTCTAAATTTACTAAATTCCTTTATTGGTTCTAGAAATGCTGTTACTGTTTTATATTTTATAAGATTCCATCAAGCTATCTACATAGAGAATTGTGCCATCCGGGAGTAAAAATAGTTTAACTTTTAGTTAAGCTATTTCCTTTGCAAGGCAGGTACTCTTCTTTATTCCTTCCTCGCTGAGACAATGTGATGGTGTTGGCACACGTGTAGAGTAGCAGACTTGTAAGCATATTGTAACAAAAGTTAGAAATCAATTCATAGCCCGTGACTTTGCTCCTGCTCCGCTGTGGAGCTGGCCTTGACGGTCTAGGCCCAAAGGTTTCCCCGTAACAATGTGTGGGTCAAACTGGCTGTGTCCGGCTTGTGTTTTAAAAATATGCAGTGAGTCCCAACTTGCTTCGAGGCCATCATGTCTGGGGAAGACTGGCCCAGTCAAGGACACTTTCAGCTCTACCTACTCTTCTCAGACCCCTCCCTCCCGGAATGTTCCTGTACAAACCTGCCTGACGATGTAGGATGTAATTCTTGTATTCCGTGTAACCAATCATGTAATAGCCTGCTATCAGCTGTGTACTTCCCACTCACAAACACTATTTAAACTGACCTCAAACCTGACTCAGGGCTGGTGATTTGAACCTCTGGGTTCCCCGGCCCGTGAGCTTAATAAAAGTTGCCTTCTAACGCCTTGGTGCAGAGTCTTCCATTTGGATTGATATTGGTTTTCCTGCTACAATGGAAATGGGATAGTCTTTTCCACAATGGTGCCAGGACACCTGGATATTCACATTCGAGAGGATGAACTTGCACCTTCACAATGGGCACAAAAGTTCATTCAGAGTGGATCAGAGGCTTAAACAGGAGAACAGACTGTAAAACTCTTGGATGAAAACAGGAATAGATCATCATTACCTTCAGTTAGCCAATGATTTCCTAGATAAAATGCCCGAAGCACAGACAATAAAATATTGTTCTTTATCAAAATTTAAAATGTTTCAAAAAACATGAATACAGGAAAAGACAACCGACAACAAAATACTGAAAGAAAATATTTGCAAATTCTGTCTTAAAGAGAGACTTGCATCCAAAATACATAGAGGACACAAACATAAGACAACCTAATTTAAACATAGACAAAAGGTTTGAATAGACATTTCTCTGATATTTGAAGATCCAATGGGCAAAAAAGATGCTCATCACTTATCATTAAGAAATGCAAATTTAAATAAGTAATATAAGGAGATACCAGAACAGTTAAAAAAAAAAAAAAAAGACTATAACAAGTGCTGTGTTGGGGATATAGCTCAGTAGTAGGAAACTTCCTAGCATGTATAAGGCTTTTAGTTCAATCCCCCCCACACACACACACAAACACAGAGACGTGTTGAGAATACAGAGAAATGGGAATGCTGTATATTGCTAGAGGGAATATAAAATGGCACAGATACTTTGGAAGGTAGTCTAGCAGTTTCTGAGAATATTGAGCATGGAGTCACCTTGTGGCCCAGCCATTTTATTCTTAAGTCTGTATCTAAGAGAATCTATGTCCACACAGAGACTTGCATGCAATTTTTTTTTTGGGGGGGGGGGTTTGTCTGGTACTGGGAACCGAACTCACGACCTTGCGCTTGCCAGGCAGGCGCTTTGCTGCTGAGCTAAATCCCCAGCCCCCGCATGCAAATATTTACAGCCACGTTTTTCATGATAGCAAAAATATAAAAACCACCCAAAATTGCTATCAATGGGTAAATGTGGTTCACCCATATAAGGGAGTATTATTCAACCACAGAAGGAATGTATACGTCACAATGTATATGAACCTTGGAAATTCTCAAGTCAAAGAAGCCAGTCAGAGGACCATATACTGTATTATTCACTTGGATGAGAGGTCAGTCTTGGGCAAATTTATAAAGTACAATGGTGGTTGCCTAGGGCTGGAAATAGAAATGTATGGTTGCAAATGGGTAGGAGTTTTCTTTAGGGGTGATGGAAATGTTCTAAAATGCGATTTGAGTGGTTTTTGCACAGTTCTATAAATATGCTAAAAACCATTGGGTTATACACTTCAATCAGGTGAATTTGATGGTATGTAAATACCTTAATGGGGTCATTTTTAAACAAAAGGAACAAATGTATTGATACGACAATAATAAATCTCTAGATAATCTCAGAGTGAAAAAAGCTAGATAAAAAAGGGTACATATTGCAGGATTCCATTTACATGAACATAAAATGCAAATGGTAGGATCCATGTACATAAACTGCTAGAATATGCAAACTGATCTGTACAAACTGATCTGTACTGACAGAAAGCAGATCACTAGCTGCCTATAAGGGGTGGGCAATGAGTGAGAGGTAGGGATTACAAAGAGGCAGGAGGAAACTTCTAGGGTGAGCGGTTTCTTTTATGTTGTGTGTGATGATAGTTTCACAGGAGGTACCACATGGTTGGTATACTTTCTGTGCAATTTATTCTATGTCAATTACACCTCAGAAAAAATTTCCTAAGCAATCATTTCATAATAATAATATTCTGATTTGGCATTGAAACAAAGCTATGTCTGGAAGCTCTACGTCCATGGAGCTCTGTCAGTGGACATGAATTTTATTAGTCTAACAAATACTCACTGGGGGAGGAATGACCGCAGCTTTGTATTTTCTTGCAAAGCAACAAGTTCTGTGGGGTACTTACGTAAGAGATGCTATGTTACGCTTGTTACTGAGGATGTGTGCAAAAGAATTGCCTATATTATGCAAATCAGTGCAAACAAAGGTCAGGAGAAATGACCAGGTCCCTGAAGAGACAGGATAAGAAATTTTAAAGCAAAGAAAATATGGTATAATTGACTTGTGCAATTTCATCGTGAAAGCACTATACCATTTTTCTTTCTTAGAGTCAGCTAAAATAAAGATGTGTCTTACAGTCAGTGGTGTCTTAGACTCAATGATCCCAGGATACAGGAGGCCAGGCATCTGCCCTAAGAGCCCTCTTGGGAGAGGAGGCCTGGCGCGAATCTTCAAGAATTAGAGGAAGCTCCGGGGCTGAGGGGCTCAGGTAGAGTTTAGTTAAAGAGAGTGTGGACGTCCTTTGTCCCCTGGTGGACAACTTTAAAAGTGCAGCCATACCTCTTGCATGAAGTCTGTTAGGGCTGGAAGGGAATTTAAAAGATCACTTTCAGCCCCTTGACTCTCTGTTTGTTTGTTTGGTTACTTGGTTGGTTGGTTGGTTTGGGTGGTGGTTTGTTTGCACATGTCCCTGGCTTTGTACCTATCACACGGTGAATTGGTAATAAGAACATGTAGATTTTTGCATTCATCTTAAAATTGTGACCTGCATGATCTAAAACTCCTTGCCGGGTGTAGTGGTACACACCTGTAATCCCAGCACTCAGGAGATTACATAGTGAGTTCAAGGCCAGCCTGAACTGCATAGTGAAACCTTGTCTCAATTAAATTAAATTAAAAATAAATAAATAAAATCCTTCCAGTCATAGAACCATGGAGCTAAATGAGACCCAAGCCCTCACCACCTGCACTGTGCCCCCTCTTTGCAAGCAGCAGTGGGTGGAGAGGAAGATCCCCAGCTTCTCAGATCGAGCCCTCTTCTAAGAGAACGTCCCCTATTCTTTGGGTCAGTTTAATAGGAAGAAGGCTCTGGGCCGCCAGTTTTTTAACGTATTACCCCGTGCAGAAAAGCACCTATGGTTTTATCGTTCAGGGTCCAGCATGTGGACAGTGCCTGACAGCCGTGGATGATGGTGGGGTGATAACGGGGAGAGCAGCTTCTCAGGACCTGCCCCCCACACCCTCCCTGACAGGGCTCGACGCGGCCACGGGCACTGAGTGTTTCCCGGGTGCCCAGCTCCGTGCTAGCGCTGCAGGTGCCAAGGCCAGTGAGCACGCAGTCCCCAGCGCTGTGGGCTCTCGGCTGAGAACAATTATAGCTGCCAATGTGTGCAGAGCATTTGCAGTGCCAGGCAATGAGCTCAACACCCCACACGTCTGACCCGTAACCCTCACTCCAACCCTATGAGCTGTCATCTATTCTTACCCTGCTTGGAAGCTGAAGCCACCCGGATGGGGTTGGAGGTCAGAGTGACAAAGCTGCACCCCTTCTTCACCCTCCCCACATCTCAGCCTTGGTTCCCCCAAAAACTCTCACCCCCCTCCCAGGGAGATGCAGTCACAGAAGTCGTTTTAGAAATAACATTTTTAGCGCCTAATTTCTGGCCTGTGTCTGCATTGCTGCATATTTTATAACAGCTTTTTCAATGGTTTGTTGGTTTGTGCTGAGCCCCTGGGGATTTTTATTACGGGTGTCCTTTGGTATCTGTGTGATTGGACCGGACTCACCACACAATCCAAAGATGCTCCAGTCCCTCACAGAGGTGATGCAGTATTTGCAAATAACCTGTGAAGATCGAGTATCATTTAAATCGTCTCTAGGTTACTTGTAATCCCTAACACTATGTGGGCGCTATGGAAACAGTTGTTATGCTGTATTGTTTAGGGAGAAGTGAGAAGGAAAAAGTCTAAATATGTCCAGCATAGATGCAGTTTTTTTCCCCAAATATTTTAGAACTGTGAATACAACTCTTGTTTTAATGTGCCGAACATTGGTGCATATTATTTTGGGCCACCAATAAGATGCTTCCAAATTGTAGGCTTCCTGAAAGCCTAATGACCCTAAGTTTTGGTTTTCATTTCTTTCTGCTGCCCTGGCTGGTGTGCCTTCTACTGCCAGCACAATGAACAAATGAATAAGCTGGTCGGTAGGATCCGGGCGCTGCTGTCTCTGTGTATCCAGGGAATGAGCCGTGGGTCTGGCTTTCCCCGGCGCCTAGGGCAGAGGGACCAAGCAGTCTGGAAGACCAGCGCCAGCCTCCCAGGACAAGGTCAGAAAGACCAAGCCATGGTTGTTGTCTCACAAGAACCATAGGTTCTGGGTGACAGCTCCTTAATCACCTCCTGCCAATACAGCTTGGGTTTGCACACCCCAAGCTTGGGTGTGCCTTATTTGTGAATCTTTAGTATTTCTGAGATTTTTTTTTGTTTGCTGTCCTCTTACCCTGAATTACTTTCAAAGTGTTTTCAGAGGCTTTGGAGGCTCCTGGTTACAGCTTTGAATTCACGACAGCCCCTGCAAGCCTGCTGAGCCTCTTCAATATCTTTTCCTTTGCCCTTCCCACTGTCTGAAGAAACCTTCCCCAGATAGCCTCAGGCTTCGCCCTTTCTCTTTTCTCAAGCCTCCATTGAAGGGTGTCTTTATCAGAGGAGATGTCTCTCTACCCTACTTAAAGTAAGGTGCATAACCTTACTCCGCTTTACTTCTCTTGTACCATTTACCACTTCATATTATATGATCTACTTGCTTCATGCTTGCCTGTCTCTCTCGCTCTCTTTACTAGAGTATTTGCTCATGAGAGCAGGGATTTTGTTCACAGATGGAGCTCTTGTGCCTACAATTGTGGGTGGCACATAGTAGGTGCTCAATAAATGTGTGTTGCATCATATAAAAAGTTACCCAATTACTCCTTTCACTCATGTCTATGTAGGACAGAGCAATGTCTAACAAAAGTGAACAAAATATGGCTTTTCCTCCGGGTTTCTTCTACCTTTGTGTAAATGGAGCCTTCTACCAACATGCCCTTCGACAATTAAAAATGGCAGCATTTCCACCTAGACTAGTTTTCTTACTGGCCTAATCTCTTTGACTATTTCTGGCTCTGTCTCACGTTTCTGAGAAATCACTCAATAGATGTTCCTATTACTACATTTTTATTAGGAAAGAATAGAATTTTGCCCACAAAATCCTGCCTGTCTAAGGTCAGCCTCACAGACTTCTCTGCTCAGTGGGTTTGTTTCTTGGTGGACATATGATACCCAAGGGTGGCCACCCTCTCTCCTGTCACCCCTCCGTCTTTGCCCCAGTCAGCACCCTCTAGCCTTGTGTTTTTCAGGTGTGGGCTGTGACTTATGACTCATTGCTGGGTAATGAAGTTAATTTGGTGGACTGTGAACAACTTTTTAAGAGAAAATAGAATAGGAAAGAGTAACGCTCTTAATAGTGACACAGGATCTTAAAAGTTTGAAACAGTGCTGTGGCCAAGTGGGATCAAAGAAGTTTTCATATATTTTTCTCTTCAGTGGTCTTCAGAAGATTCTAGAAGGAAGGCTTTGGCATTCCTTGCTTCACAGTGGACCCACGTCTGGTTGACCACATGGTTCGTCAGCTCTTTTTAAAAATACTGCCAGCAGCAGTGGGCAGTATTTTTACACTTGTGTATTTTAACTGTGTCTGCTGGGCACTCACTGCCTGTCCTCCACCCAGTCCTGCCTTCAGAGACTCCCCGTACGGGAACATGGCTGCCAGGAGCTCAGGCCACATCGCTGGGATGACCTAGCCACTTTCTGATCTGCTTCCTGGAAAAACTGAAGGCTATGAAAACAATTTATAGTATTTTGTAGCCAACACGTGACTATGGGCCCTGACCTCCTTCTTAAGATCATTTACTAACGAAGGCTGACAATTGTGAGTCCTTCCTCTGTCCCTTTGAGGTGTGTATTGAACATCTACCCCTCAGAAACATCTTTCTTAAGGACCTGAGAGCCACTCTTTTGAAAGGAATCCTCGAAGGAGAAGGCCTCTGTCTCCTAATCCCTGTAAGAGGGAGGAATTCCCGCTCTTTGTGTGTGTGTGTGTGTGTGTGTGTGTGTGTGTGTTTCAGACGGAGCAACAGGGTGAGGGATGTTCCCAATACTTGATGCCATCAACCCTGTTCCCAGAACCAATCAGAAAAGTGTTATTTTCAGTTCTTCATTTGACTCTGGTGCTGTTCACAGGCCCAATCAGAAGGTGTTCTTTTCAGTCCTTCATTTGCATGTGGGCACAGCCAATCAAAAGACATTGCTCCTGTTCCTTCATTTACATAGGGCTGGAAGCCAAGCTGAGCTTTTCAATAGGACAATTTACACACAGTGTGACGCCAAGTGAGTGTTCGATAGGAGGACTGCCCGATGCCTTGTTTGCCTGAAAGAGAGATAACTGGGAATTTTGGATACAAAAGACCCCTTTCTTTAAGGCGGCCTGCTGTGAGTCTTGCCATCTGCATTCTGCAGAGGCACAGGTGGTTAGGGTCTCAGAGACCATAGGAAGACATTAGTTGAGCTATGGCTTACAGAAATCAAAAACCTAAAAGGGGACAGCCGGTAAGAAGGGGCAAGGCCAGGCTGGGTGAAAGTCACGCAGTTTGCAAATGGGCTGGTAAAAGCTTGCTCAGAAAAGCAACATGGCTCTAGGGAGGAAAAACCGTATGCTGTTTACCGGTTTATGAGCTAAACCTGATGAAGTTTATCCTAAAAATTGATCTAAACTTTCTCAAATCAACTAAAATGTTTTAAATTTCTACTTTCTCCATGAATTTCCATTTGGGTACTATTTACTCATATCAGCCAAAAGAAGCAAAAGTCATCTGGTCATGGTATAACACGTTCGTATCCATTTCAGACATATTTTATTGAATAAATAAAAACTTTTTAAACCTATAAACAATATCCTTACTTTGAGTGCTTAAAAAAATACAAATTCATGTAACCAAAATGCTTAGAGACATAGGTGGATTTCCATGAAGGTCTTTCCCTGAAAAGCTTCAGATTATGAGATCTAATACTGCATGGAAAAAGAGCTTTACATAAAAAATTCCAGTGGCATCTACCCATTGTAAAGATTCCACTGAGTATTTGCATTTTAAAGAATCAACCAGGATAAGTAATCAACAGTGATAACTCAAGGACTTCTATAAATAGCAAAGCTATCCTTTCACAACTATAAGACAATGAAAATTATATTCCCTGAGAGCATGGTTTGCTTTGAGTTCCATTCTGTGTGTGTGTGTGTGTGTGTGTGTGTGTGTGTGTGTGTGTGTGTGTGTGTGTATCCTGAAAGCACTGAGACCAGAATGCATGAATGCTAAAAGGAGAACAACTATCTGTTGGTATTTTGGTGAGCCCAACTGCCTATTTCAGACCAGCCTTGGCAACTGGCGCACTTTGACCTCATCTACCGATTCTCCTCCATCAGAGACTCTGGGCCTCGTTCCCTCTGGGTCCATTGGGAGAGGAGGCCCAGCTGGACGGCTCAGAAAACTGGCCCACCTGCTAGCCACCTGCTAGTCCTGTCTGACTTGTGCCCACATCTTAAGGAAAGGGTTCCCTCTTCCCTATTCTCCCTACCCTTCTTGGGACAAGAGTCATGCTCACAAACTCCAGGCCCGTGATAAGTTTTCAGATCCTCATCCCTAGAAGTGACCTCTGCGTCCTCCTCTGACCCCTTCTTCTCCTCCGCCAAGGGTGTTCTGCCCACTCGAGGGCCTGCCCAGCATCCAGCCTGCTGTCAGGGTGTCCTGCTGTGTCCTGCCGGAGTCCTAGAGATCTTTGTTTCTGGGTTAGTCCCACCTTGGCTCTCCCCACACCTATGGCGTGGGTTAGAACAGTTAGCTTGGTGCCGGTTGGGATGATGATGGTGATGATGTGGGGATGATTATGGAATGGAAATTAGAGCTCCCATTCTGACTGAGGGCCTAGAAGACTGATCCCTATGACTCTACCTACCTAAGTTGCCCCCAGATGACTTCAACTTGTCTTTCCCTGAAAGTTACAGACAGGCTCAAATATAGAAGTCTAGATCTTCTGAATAGGGCTATCTGCCCCTACTCTGTGTCACCATGAGAACTCCCATTTCTTGGGTGCAGGTACCTGTGATTTTAACACAGTTCACCTGCTTATCTGGTGTCATAAACTTCAGAGTCCTTCTTCAGGTGCATTTAGGTAACCCCAGCTAGTCCTAAAACTTGACAAGAGCATTCAGAATCAGGTTTATAACTCAGAGATCCGAAATCCTCATCTTCCCAGCATACCAAGGAGCTCAAAATTTGCTGATTGCTCTTATCAAAAGATACCCATCCACTTCCAGAGAGGGAAGGTTCTCTTTTTGAGTGAAGGTTCTCCATCTATGCCAATAATGTGGTCCCTGGATTTCTTCTTTGGGAGCTCTTTCCTCAAATACCCTTTGGACTAAGACTGATTTTTCCTGTGGCTCACAATGGCTTCCAAGGACGATTGTAAAGAGACAAACATGGAAGCCACTATTGCTGGCTGACCTAGGTGCACGGCTTTCAGAGGAGACCCCACCACCACCAAGAGGCAATCAGCACTCAGATGCAGCCTCCTAACTTTGTATGCATCTCATTGCAGCTATGAGTATGTTAAAGAAAAGAAAAATTAGAATATTGACTGGTGGCCTATATACCCATTTACGGAATGTCTCTAGGATGAGAATTTGACATTCTTCTGTGTCCCCACAGCTTGACAAGCAGGAATTGAATGAGATGAAATTGCTGGATTGAACTAAATGAAATTGTTTCAGCTGAGGGCATCACAGAGGTTATTAGTGCTTACTGCTTGTGCACAGGGCACAATGTGTTCTGAATGTTCACAAACACATTTTTTATGGTCACATCTCCCTTTTCTTAGCAGGGAGCTGACCTGCCCCACCAATGCTCAGACACAGAAAATTCGACACATTCACACACATTTGTATTTGTCCTCAACAATCTAGGCATAAACAGAAATCTCACTTGTCATTTTCCAAGTTCTTAAAAATCTGTTTTGAACATCAGGTCCTTCTGACCATAATTTATTCATGAAAATTAAGTCCAAGATCATCGCTAACATCCCTTATAACTTGCCAAACTGTTGAGAGGTGCATGCAAAATACGCCTCCCTGTGGCATGAATAAAGCTCTTAAAAAAGAATTGAAATCATACGACCAAAATAAAGTACCTTTGATAATGCCGTTACTATGTTTTAACTACAGCATGTGAAACAGGATCTCTTAACCAGTTTCCCCACCTCAGGGATTAGAATGCATTTCCAGTGAGCTCACTTGAAAGCCCTTCTTTTTAAGAGTGAAGGGCAGCCTCTGTCCTTTGAATCAAAATCAAGCCGCACTGATCCTAAACCCAAGGAGAAGAGCTTTAAAGGGTCCTGAAAACAAAGGTTCTAGGAGGTGGCGGGAACATAGACACAAGTCACTGTCTAAAAAATAGAAGGAACACTGCCAAGAAAAATCTGTAATTCCTGCAGTGGCCAGCAGTGTTAAGTTGATTGCATTTGTAGAAAACATCAGCTGAGTCCTCTGGAAATCGTTTTTCTATAACACAGTACAACGGGTGGACGCGAAGACGCCACGGCTCCAGGCCGTGGTGAAGGTGGTTTTGTCTGGTAAGGACCGATCTAATCCAAAGCAGGCCGTTCTGTGATCAGAGAAAGAGGAGACCAGAACACGAGTCTTTCATCTCTTCCAAACCAAACACTCCTTCCCAGAACCATCCGCGCAGACCTGCTCCTCGGAGGAGCCTACGAGGTGCTCTAGACAGGGAGCCCAAGGGCTCTGACACCATGGATTGTGTACAGTTTACAAACAAGAGATAAAAGAGAGGAGGGAAGAAGAAACGCCTTCCTGCCACTCAGCGTGAATCTTTTACCACTTGAAGAACAAGACCTGAGCTGGGCTGGGGCTTGGGTTTTGGTTTTCCTGCTCCGAACTGGGCAGTGTGGAAGGAAGGACCCTGACCCAGATGGGAAGACCTGGGTACCGACTCCAGGCTTAGCACTTGTTGAGAGAGCTGGGGAGAGTCACGTAGCCTCTCCAGTACTTGGTTTCCCCTCTGTAGTCAGGAGTGACAGTATCCAGGCCCCAGACAGTCATCGGGGTTGAACGAAGTGGTATAAGAAATGCCAAGCATGGGACCTGGCATGGGCAGGTATGTCCCGAACGTCATTCAGTGTTCATCTCCACGCCGTCCCTCCTGAGGTAGGTGAGCACACACTCCTGGCTTGTCTCAAGGGTCTCAGAGCTGTGACCTCAGGGCAGGCTCCGACAGGGGATGCAGCGGGTGGGGCCCCCCTCCGGGTTCCTCCGCGGTCACACAGACACTGCGCCTGGCACGATCCTCCGAATGTGGGTGTAGGACTTCCTAATGGTGACGCTGCCGTGATGAGACACTCCCCGGGGCAGGACGCACTCCTCCGTCAGCTTCTGGGTCTCGGGGTCCCAGCACAGCACCGTGGCGATGACCTCGTTCTTCTCGTCCCGCCCGCCGGTGATGTACAGGCGGTTGTTGCAGGGCGCGATGCCGCAGCTGGCGCGCTCGTGGCTGAGCTGGGTGACCAAGCTCCAGCTGTCCTCGAGGGGGCTGTAGGCATACAGGGCTCTCATGGCCCCGCCTGAGGAGGAAGAGCACACATGATGAGCGTCAGTCACATCACAGCAGTTTTCCGGCCATCTTTCCCACTAACGCGTGAAGATTCTACTTCCGGTCAGGCCAGGTCTACCATCTTGCCACAGAAGCAGCAGACCAGTGGCTTGCTCTGCAGAAAGCCGGGTGGTCCTAGGACCAACAAGATGCAGGTGTGGAGATACTCCCTCGACGTTCTGCAGCCAGGTGTGCATGGGGCTCTAAGGCACACCCGCCTTCACCACCTGCCAAAATGCACCTGAGCTGCCCCCGGAGAAGAAATATCAGTGAGGCTTCTGGTAGACCTGGCTCATAATCCCAGCTCTGCTGTCATCTGTGACCAGCGCACCAGGACCACGCTGGTTATACTAGGTCAGAAGGACCCCACAGGGGGCTGAAGCCATTCATCCCAGGCCGTCGCTGGGGTGGTGTCTCTCTGTAGACGCAGTACGGTCTGAGCTCCCAGCCCAAGTCACCCGTTTGTGATGAGCCCTTCGAGGCAGCCCGGAGGCTGGCCACGAGCAGACACACGAGAGACCGGAAGGAAGGGAGAGAAGTGTTTTCTTCTCAACCCGTTCCTGTGTTTTGCCTCCAATGCCTTCTCTGATTAGCTCTCACTCACTGCAGTTATTCATATCCTGGCATCTCCTTAATCAGTAGTTCTGCATCCTGCCTGCACATTAAAATCACTCGGGAGTTTTTAAAAATATAGTTATACTGCCCCCCAAGCCCCCCTTCCCGTCCTGATCTCATTGCTGTGGGCTAAGGCCCAGGGATCTATATTTTTGTAAAAGGCTCCCTGTGGTTCTAATGAGTAGTCAGGACCGAGGGCCCCCTTCCTTCACAATTACACGCCAACCGTGGTCTGGCTGGCCAGACTTCCCTCCCGACTAAATGCAACTTTTCAGAGTCCCTGCTGCGAGCCGAGGGGTCAGTCCCCTCTGAGAAATACCAGTAGCTGCCCTTGGCCAGGCACTTACTGCAGTGCGCACGTTTGTTCCTGTGCATTTGCTCATGTGCATCACACAGCTTCGCTCCTGACTTCCAGCTGCCTCCTCAGGCCCACAGCCTCTATCCTCTTTCTTGGTTTTATTCCGCCTCTGGGATGCGAGGGAAATTCCACCCAGAACTGGCCCAGCCTCCTCCCGTCTTCCTTTTCAGCCCTTCCCACACCACCCAGGATTCCCAAGAGCCCCTTTTTGATCTCCTCTCCAGCCTGGCTCTGCAGGGCAGAAACTTCAAATAAATACGAAGCCATCACTCACTCACCGACAACATAGATGCGGTCCCGGAAACTCACTGCGTTGATGCATTTCGCCTCCACCGGCATGGCCGACTTCAAAGTCCACTTATTCGTCAAAGGGTCGTAGCACTGCGTCTTGTCAGTGGCTAGCTTCCCATTGGGCCCACCCCCTATCACGTAGAGCTTCTTCTTGTGGCTGGTGGCTGCAAAGGAACTGACGTGGACGAGGAGGGGGGCAACCTGCAGAGGATGGGACACAAAGAGACACTGTCAACTGTGCCGCCCAGGTTGTAGGACATATGCCCCAGGGACAGACCTGGGCACCCTTTGCTTGAAGTCATAGGGCCCATGGCTTGGCCCCCTTAGGACACAGAGGAAAATGAAGCGTGCATTGCCCACACTCCCAGCAGGCTCCGGGCGGGCTCCCGCGGGCTCCGTGTTGGATGTTCCCACCTGTTCATTCCAGAGTCCAGCTCTCAGGAAAGGAGGGCCATAGGCAGGGGCAAGTGTTACACAAGGGAAGCAGCCAATTGGGGAAGAGAATGATTTTTTTTCAAACTGTATTTATGTGCTCATTCATTCAAAAAATACTTACTGAGTGCCTACTATGCGCCAGCATTGATCATCCTTGGTGCTTATGCCCAGGAAGGAAAGCTGGCACACAGATTTAAGACGCTCAAAGGGAAGCAGATTCTCCCACCTTAGGGGCGCACTACAGATCTGAGGACAAAGCCAGGATTGTGCTTCTTTTACCTGGTAAACCCTGGGACATTAGAGGGGACTTCCAAGAGCTTCCTGCACATTTACAGGACATCTTCAGGCCACAGGGCGACTCTGTGACAGGACTGGATAATTGGTGAGGATCTTGGACGCATCCCCCCAAATGTTAAGGACTCCCTAGATAGTATGTTTCAGGTTGACAGGTCTTGGCTGGATGTCGTGGTGAGCAGGTAACATCTGTCTGTGCCTGCAACGGCTGTGCTTATACTCCTCAAAGCTGAGACATGGCCCGATAAGGACAAGGAAACTTTGAACTTGAGGATAACCTAGACACACAGGAGGTGACATCACTTTGCTTGTCCTGAGGTTGCATTGCTAAGACTTGTCTGTGGGCATTCAGATGGTTTGTCATCAATGGGATACAAACAGGGGCTGACTGCTAAGCCTAACCAGGTGAGTCTAGGCCCACACAGTGTGGGGAAAGGGGTCTCCGGGTGTCTGGTGTGGAGAAGAATGGGGCAGGTGTCTGAGGAGGCAGGCTCTGGACAAAGACATAGGACGGAGGGATCTGCCATCTCAGGGCCGGTCAGCCTCCCCTCCCCATCTGCCGGGCCAGGATAGGCAGTGCTCACACAGCCTCTCCAACGGGAAGGGTGCTGCTACTGTGACTTGAGCAGCAAAGCTAGAGCCATGGGTCCTCGGGGAGGGAGGCTCAGAGCCACCCACAATGAAAGCTGGTCACATTGTGAGCATGTGGCCCCACCCCGCTCTCTGAAGAAGCCATAGGAAGTCACCCAAGGACACGCTGTGCTGTACCTCGGACCAGCAGTTGTGGAAGGGGTCATAGGTCTCCACGTTGTTGATCCTCTGCAAGCCGTCGAACCCTCCGATGACGTAGACCTTGCCGCCCAGCACCACCATCTTGTGCCTCCAGCGGCCTATGTTTAAATACTCAATCTGAATCCACTTGTTGATGGAGGAATTGTATTTCCAAACATCGTGCTGGGTTTCTTTGCCACCTACGTGAGATATAAAGCATTTAAGGACCGCCAGATGTGCCAGCAAAGTGGCTTTTGCCATCATTTCCCAGAAATCCTGAAGTGCAAGGCTCCAGCCCAGTGCCACCCTCTGGGAAGAGAGCAGGAACCCCAGGGTGTGTGTGATCTGACGGGGAGGTGAGGCTGGGCGGGGAGCAGGGAGAGGAGGGGAAGGCTGCGGGGAGGGCGCCACCTCAGGCCTGTGCTAAGCGTGAGGCCAGAGCAGGCTTCAGGGAGGTGGAAGCCATTGGCCGGGCGGGGGCAGAGGGTGCCTGGATCCAGTGCCCGAGCCCGCCTGGTTGGGGGCGTCCAGCCATGCAGGGCCTTGACCCATCGGCAAATTAGAGTCGCTTACATGTAGCTATTTAAACAAAAAAGCAAACGAATTAATGACATAAAAAAGGTCTCAGAAGTCATCAAGAGATCTTACAAAATTTTCTTGGATCGTATAAAATATAAATGGGACTAATTCTATTTTCAAGTTAATTGTTGTAAGTATGAGACATTGAGATATTATTTGTTTTGTTGGTTTTCAGTGTTTTGCCTTGTTCTGTCTTTGTAGTACTGGGAATAGATCTCAGGAGCTGTCTACCACTGAGCTATGTACAGCCCCAGGCCTTTTTGTTTTTTATTTTGGGATGGGATCTGGTTAAGCTGCCCAAGCTGGCCTCAAGTTTGCCAGACTCCTGCCTCAGTCTCCTGAGTAGGTCTTTTAAAGAATAATTGCTCAATATTTCCTTCAAGAAAGCGCTCTAAATACACAGAAAAAGAAAACATAATTCAGCAGCGGGGTAGACAATCCAAGACAAAGGGAAGCTGCTTTTTTCAGGGCGATTTAATAAAATACGGTAAACACTTTGCGTTTCCATTTTCCCATCAGCACTCGTCATCACCAACTACTGGAGGCAAAGACCGGTTGCACTTTTCAGACTTGGAAATGTGCTCCAGGGGTGATGAATATCACTGACAAGCTCTGTGGTACCGGTGGGTACTTCTCTAGGGAGGAACCCAGCCCTGGGATTTCTAGGTCAAAGGCATGCGCACATGGGGTTTTTTAATACATGTCAGTAACACAGAACGGTGAGGTTCATTTTGGTAAAGTGGTCCACGCGTTTAACATACCTTGGCTTTTCCTGTCCCATCACCCACCTTTCCGCCCCTTCCTACAGCCAATCCCTTTCCCTGTCTCCAAAAGTCTATTCCTCACTTCCCGCAATCTCTTCTTTACTTTGTATAAGAGGAAACATGCAATTTTTTTTTATGAGTTTGGCTTATTTCACTTAACATGGTGGTCTCTAGTTCCATCTGCTTTTCTGTAAATGACACAATTTCATTCTCCTTCATGGATGAATAATATTCCGTCTTGTATGTATATTCCCCATTTTCTCTATCCATTCAGCTAGGCTATTTCCACAGCTTAACAACTGTGAACTGTGCCTTACAAACAGGAGTGTGGATGGCTCACATGGATTTTCACAGACTCGCAGCCCTCTCTCTCGCTCCTGCTGCTTAGCCTGATAAAGTAGTGTGACAGTTTGGCTTTCCCAAGCGATAATGGAGGCTCAGTTTTGGTTTTTTTTTTTTTTTTTTTGAAGTTCTTGTTCATATATTTGTTTTTTTTTTTTTTTTTTTGAAGTTCTTGTTCATATATTTGGACATTTTTCTCTGGGCATGTGTCTTTCAGAGGTCTTCATTCAAAACACTGTGATAATTTTTAAAAAACACTGTGATATTGATCCTATTTACATGGTGTTGAAAATTACTATAAAATATCACCTATCAAAGAAATATATTCAGCCTTTATTTTAAAAAGAAAAAAAGCAAACAACTCTGTGATTTAACTTCAGGACTTAAACTAAGGCCTGAGTAACAGGGAGAGTGTATCTCAGGTGAGGTAAGAGGGCGTCAGGGCAAAGACTGCTCCCTCCTCCGGGTAACCTATGCACGAGGCCTTCAGTGCTTTTTCTGAGGGGCCTGACAAGACAAGTCTAATTCCACTGGGAGAAGTAAATTTGGGAAAACATTTATTTATTTGTTCATTTTATTTGATTTAGCAGCACTAGGATGGAAACTAGGGCTTCAGGCACACTAGGCAAGCACTCTGTCACTGAGCTACACCCCCAGCCCAAAGATACAGTTACTATAATTAGCTCCCTGAAAGCCAATTTAAAGGCTGCCTTTCAAGGAATTGTTTACCTTGATGTATGTGTGTGTGTGTGTGAGATGTATCAAACCCAGGGCCTTGCACATGCTAGACAAGTGTTATATCCTGGGGGAAACTTCTAAGAAAGTTTTCAAAACCAAGAATAAGGAAGTAGGCTTTCTGTATCCAATATGAAAATGTGCTAAAGGCTGTTTAATAAAAACAGCATGACATGTGCACAAGATTAGGCGAATTGATCAGTTAAAAACAATTATGAGTATAGAAATAGACTAAATACACAGAAATAATTAAACGCATGTTATTTAGAACAATTGCTATTCATTTGGAGAGAAATTGAATTAGGTGCCTGTTTCACATTACATTTAAAATAAAATCCAAACGTAGGTGCTGTAAAAGTTATTGGACAGTAGACGGGTCATGGTCTTAATGACCACGGGGAGGAAAGGGATTTTCAAAGCATGACATGAAACTCAGAACCACGTAGGAAAGAAAACGCCTATAGAAATAGAAGTTAAAGTTAAAATACAACCAGAATCTGAGAGAAAGTATTTGCAACATAAAAAGCAAAGGATATATAATAAAAGCTCTAAAAAGCAAGTAAGAAACAAGCAAACAAACACCAGAAAGATAGCCGAAGGGTAGGAATAGGTCATTTAAAAAAAATACAATTACCTAAGTATTGTATAAAACTATGTTCAACTTCCCTAGTGATCTATTAGTGCAAAGGTAGATGTTTAGCCTATTAAAAATATAAACGGCCCCTTCCTGTTTTGTTATGTTTGAGGTTTACAGTGGTCACATTCCTTATGCAGACGGAGAGGAGAGAAAGGAGAGGAAGGGGCTGAGAAAAGAAGTTCAGATCTGGCCGGGGATGTAGCTCAGCGGCATAAGCGCTTCCCTGGCAAGCCTGAGGTCATGAGTTCAATTCCTGGTACTACAAAAAAATGAAAAAGAAGAAATTGAGATCTGCTCTGTGCATGCAGTGTTTCCCCATGAGGAATGCAAATATCACATACTGCACACATGCATGATACTAGTAGACAATAATTTTTATAATGCAAATCACTAATAATAGTGTTGTCATTCATCCCCGGTAGAATTATAAATGGGTAAATCTTTTTGGAGGACAATTCGGCAATGTATGCAAAAAATTCTCAGTTCACATATGGCCACTCCCAGAATCTTTTCAAATAGCAGCACAAGTGTATAAAGCAGGTGAGCATAAGGCTGGCTTGTTCTGTATTTTTTTTCTTCATGATTTAACAAAGGGAAAAAATATATATGGCTCACCCCTTCAGCAGGCTACCTGATAGCTGATAAACAGGAGGGCAGTCGTGATGGTAGAGGGGCACATTATTAAGCTCTGACCACGGAGTGCGTGACTTCAGACGTATGTCCATTATACCAATATAGAACAACACCCTGTTGTTGAAGTACAAGTTTCTGTTGATTTAATTGTGTGCAGCAAGCAGGCTTTTTACGAACTGCTTATATCACTAAAAAAATGAGCGGTAAATTTAAAAGGGGAAGAAGGAGTTGTAGAGTCCCATGTGCTGTGTATGTGGCAAAGACCGATCATCATCACCTGCTTTCCTTCCTGTGTGTGCAGGTGGACCCCATTTCCCGGTCCACCTCTATGCTGGGAGGGGACAGGCGGGTGGCTGGATTCTGCCACTGTCCAAGAGCAGGATCAGTGCAGCTTTTCCAGGCTGAGGGTTTTTTGGTTGGTTCGTTTTGTTTTTGCCCTTTTTTTTTTTTTTTTTGAGACAGGGTCTTGCTATGTAGTTTAGGCTGGCCTTGAATTCTCTATGAAGCCCAGGCTGGCCTTGAACTCATGGCAATCCTCCTGCCTCAGCCTCCCCAGTGCTGGGACTACCGGCATGCACCACCACACCCAACAAGGCAGAGGCTTTTATGAGCAGAGATTCCCTCTCAACTTGCTCGGTTTCTGTCTCTTCCCTAAATGAAGGCCACGTGCAGGAAATGGCAGCATCACCAGATGGGAGGACCTGGATCTCTGAAGGCTTTATTGGAGCAGAGCGACCCTCTATGTCAGCCCCCTACCCAGTATCACTGTGTTGATTCACATAGAGTGTGGATTTGTTATAGCATCTGACGTTACTTACCCTAAAACAAAACTATTTCATAAAAAATTAAAACATAGAATCATAATGGTGCAGAGAAATTGCCCTGTTTTATACTCCATTCTCCCTAGTTATCTGACTCTTCTATCAGAATTACAATATTTCTTCAAGTCCACACAGGTGGCAAGTTCCCATTGGTGAGAAGCCTCCAGGAGAGGGAGTGGGTGCTGCCTCCCTCCTCAGGGTCCAGGAAGACCTAGGTGGCTTTGGAGGTGAGGGCGGAGCTTGGGACTTAGGAGCGGCACCTGGGTTAGACTCTGCCCGACGCCCACCAGCTCGTGACCCTAGCTATGTTCCAGAACCTCTCTGAGCCTTGGTTTCCTCCTACCTTAAAGTACCTCCCTTGTGAGAGCAAACAGTGAAAAGTTACCATAGGTTCATCTACTACACAGTACAGATGGCTGAGCCTGTGCCTTTCAATAAACACTGACTGAGCATTTACTCCGGGGTCAGGCACAGTGCCTGGTGCTGGGAAGATGTCATGCTGCCTCTTGGAAACATTGAGGTCTAATGAGAAGCCAGGCATAAGGAACTGGAAACAATTAAGCAACACTTCAGCAATGAACTATGCATTTCAGTTCAGCATGCTACTGGAGTATATGAGAATATGAAGGAATAATCTGGGAAGGGGGTCAGGCTTGGGGGATTCGTGCGCTACTGTTCCCCACTGTGCTGTTCCTGGCTAGCACCCCATGTCTAGAGCAGATACCAGATAACCCTGGGATTGCTTTCCTTCTTTTCCTACACCTGCTCCCCTAGGTCCCACCTAACACAAGGCCGCTCGTGCGTCAGTGCTGACTTAGTACTAATGTGCTCTTCCACGCAGGGACAGACCACCTGAGCCCTGGCTCCACATCCGACTCCGCCAGGGCGAGCTCAGTGCCAACTCGCAGTCGTTCCGCTATGGTAGGCGGGTTGCCTGGCCCTCGGGAAAACGTGCAGCGCCACGGGGGGACTTGCTTCGCCTTCCCACGACTCCTGCTTACCTGAGATGTAGACCTCATTTTTTAACGTCACGCATGCAAACTCCACCCACTTCTTATTCTCACTGTCCAGCTCCTGCTCGGTCAAGGGGAGCTTGGCCACCTCCAGGCGGCTGCGCCGCAGGGGGTCCAGGCAGGTTACCTCTGCCACAAATCGCTCGTCCTTGGTGCAGCCGCCGATGATCATGAACACCTCGGACTGGAACTCATGCATCCTGGGCTTGGTGCGCTCCGAAATGATCTGGAAGTCAACGGGGGCAGGGACATGCAGCCACGGTGACCAGGGGGTACAGAGCTCAGGCTATGGGGCCACACAGAGCAAGCCTTAGTTCCCAAATCCGCCACAGCATAGCCATGGGGCTTCACTTCCTGGGGTCTCGGTTTCACCAGCTGTATAATTTGGATTTTGTGACAGATACTTCATAGGTTTGGTATGAAGATTAAATGGGATATTATAGGTAGTGTACTTGGCCCAGGGCCTGGTGTATCATAAATGTTGTCCCGTTTTTATCGCTACTTTAAGAAGATCTATCTATCTATTTGCTAGCAGATGCACTTCTTGCCTCTTCCCTCCTACCTAGTCTGAACCTTTAAATCCTGGAATTTCATTCTGGGCTATTTCCCACTCCCCCTGGTTTCAATTTCTTCCTGGCATCTCAGGCTGTGCTCACCATCAACCTTCTTCTGAAAGAGAAACCCGTGACAGTGACTACAGAGCCTTCAGGGACTTAAAAGTGCCAGAAGGGATCAGGGTGTGGCCAGGAAGCCTGGGGGCTGAGCCCAGCATTAGGTCTGTGACCCTGCAGGTCCTTGAGCAAGAGAAGAAGTCTACGCCACAGGTGTTTGAATTGAGTTCAGAAGGCAGAGGCTTAGAAGCCATATGCACCATGGTTCCATCGCCTCTGTGAAATGCTGTCACGGCTTCCGTGTCATCTGATCACCATGAGCATTTGTGAGGGTGTGAGATTGAGGGGTGAGCAGGGCACCGGACACAGGCAAAGCTCTACACCTGTCAGACCTGCACGGAGGGGGAGGGGTGGTGTCAGACAGATGGTGCCAGAAAAGGAAGAGCTGCTGCCTCCTGGTTCTTCCTATCCCCTGGGCACCATGGGGAGGGCTCTGCAGGTACTGATAGGAGACAGAGAGGCAGAGCCCACTCCCCAGTTTGCCAGAGTGGCCATTTTCTTCCTTCAGAGTTAGGGTGCTTTCACACAGATGCTGAATGTCTCAGTTACTTTTCTTGTTGCTGAGACAAAACACCCAGTACCCAAAGTTAGAGGAGGAAAGGTTTATTGTAGCTTACAGTCAGTTTGTAGAGGTTTCAGTTCATAGTTGGCTGGCTCCAAGGCAGGGGTGGCGTGGCACAGGGGCATCGCAGAGCAGGCAGGCAGAAGACAGCAAATAGCAACTCTCTCTAACCCTTACATTTTATCCCGCCCTAAGGGTGTGTAGCACTTATACCCAGGGTGGGACACCCTTAATCCTACTCAGGACTATACCAAACCAATCAGTGGACTAATTTAGTAATCACACACTCCAGAGCCAGCTGCCTCTGAAAACTCCCCACCTATGACCATACGAGGCTTTGGGGGACAGCTAGACACAACCCGTAACAGTAGAACTTTGACGTTTGCCCACAAGTGTTAACAGCTAGGTTACAGAAGCAAAGACTGTGCCCCAGAGGGGTGAAACCAAGCAGTGGCCACAGCAATCAGACCAGCTCATACCAGCCAGAGCTCTGCTTTTCCATGAGTCTTTGTTGAATTGTTTTTCTGGGCCAAAGAGCTAGATACCGTACATTTTGCATCCTGGATTCTTTTCATTTAAAGTCCTGGGGATTGAACCCAACCTTCTTTGCACTGAGCTACATCCCTAGCTTCATTAAAATTTTTATTTTCAGATAGGGTTTTATTAATTCACTAAATTGTCCATACCAGGCTCAAACTCTCAGTCTTCCTGCCTCAGCCTCCCAGAATGCTGGGAATACAGGCACCCACCCCCAGCCTGCCTGTATACTCAATTCTTGGAGCTGATCATGGCCCTGAAGTCTGTGGCCAAGCTCCTCCTGACGTGGGTGGAAAGAGTGGAGGTGTACATGGCGGGACACATCCTAGGCAACGGGCTAAAATATCATGGTGGTTAGGTGTGGTGGCGCACGCCCGTAATTCCAGCACTGGGAAGGCTGAAGCAGGAGAATTGTTGGGAGTTTGAGGCCAGCCTGTGCTACATAGTGAGTTCAAGGCCAGCCTGAGCTACATAGTAAGAAATCCTGTCTCAGAAAAAAAAACAGAAAACCAAAACAAAAAATCTCACCGTGGTAACCAGCTTCCACAATGGTCCCAGTGATCTCTGCCCCCAAATACTCACACCTTAGGTTATTCCCTCCGTATTGTTCCAGAATTGATTTCTCAATACATGAAGCAGAAGTAGTAGTTCACCAGGCTATAAAAGGCACCCCAGCTCCCCTCTTGGCTGCTCTCTCATTCATAGGTCACTTGCTCTTGGAGAAGCTAGTTGCTATGGAGAGGCCCACATGGCATGAGACTGAGCCCTCCAGCCAACAGCTCTCAAAGAGTGGATGCCTCAGAATGACCCTGTGAGTGATCTTGAAGTGGATCCTTCACCCTCATTCAAACTTCGAGATTTCTGCAGCCCCAGACAACAGGTTGACTGCAGCTTGGTAAGAGACCTTGAGCCAGAACCATCCTCTAAAGCATACCCAAGTTTCTTACCCTTCAAACTCATAAATGTTTGTTTTGCCTGTGTGTGTGTGTGTGTGTGTGTGTGTGTGTATGTGTGTGTTGCTGGGGACTGAACCCAGGGCCTTGAGCAAGCTGGGCAAACACAATACCAGTGACCTTGAACTCTAGCCCTGTTTATTGTTTCAAAATGTTAAGTTTTGGGATCATTTGTTATGTGGTGATTCATAACAAACATGATTAGGATACTGAGAACTGTCTGTAACTGAGCTTGAAACTTAATAGTGTTGAGTGGTGGCACTATTACCAAATTGTAAGTTCAGCTACATTTGGCATAATATGAACCCTAAAGGCATGACAAACTCCAATTTGAAGTCAGAAATGGTTCAGACATACAGAAGTGTTTGCCAACGCTTTGCAAGCAGCAATCAGGTCTAGCGAGTTTATTTTCAGCTTGTTAAAAACAGAGCAGACACCTTTCTAACTGTTCAGTGTCCACCAAGTCTATATTGAGGACCAAACAAAAGTGACCATATTGCTTCAACAAAGCTGTCCCCAGGAGTGGAGCCTCTGCCCCATCTCCCCGCACCACACTAGTCAAAACAACCTTTGTTACAGACCAAGTTAGTTCCTGGAATCTCGGGAGCAATTAAATGAAGCAGCCCCCCCCCACCCCAAAGACCTCTTCCAGTGCAGATGCCAGCTATCATTCCTAAGCCACATGTAGACTGACATTTGTTTCTAAAATTCTAAAATTTCCCACCAACTTGGAGGCTGGACAAGGCTAAAGAAGGGACGCTTGGATAAGAAGAGCTAAGGTTCAGAAAAGGAAGGTTGGCGGGGACAGTGCATTCGCAGAGCACCCTCTCAACTCACGCTGCTGTCATCAAGAATAAACCCAAGATCACCCAAGTGGGGAGCAGAGCGGAGTTTCAGGGGCTGAGACCCAAACTGCCCAGACTATAACATGGGAAGGAGAAAGGGTCTTGAGCAGGATTTGGGGAAATAAGATGGCAAAAACCTGGGATTCAGAGAAAAGACAGATTTTAGCCCCAAGGAAAGCGTGTGTTCGATTGTGGGAGACAGAGAAACCCTAAAAGAACTGAGCGAGGACAACACCCGCTTCCACTTGTGGGGCAGGTGTCATTCACTCATTCAATGAAACTGGGCGCATTTCATTCATTATCTCACTGAATTCTCAAAGCAGTTCTATCAGTTGTTAGTACTATTCTCCCCATGTTACTGATTAGGACTGAGTCTCACAGTAGCTAAATCACTTGCCCAGGATTTACACTGCCAATGAATTACGCGGTCAAGATTAGAGTCTTGAAAATGTGAAAGGCAGTAAAGATATTCCATTGCAGGAATTTTGCAGAAGACACAGCAGGGACTTTCCGTGTCAGAGGAAAGCCTTTGTCACCCGCATCTCAGGGACTCAGGAAACAGGAAGCGGAAGTAAACACAGCCAGCATGTTTGGAGTAGGGGATATTGGAAGTAGAAGCGCTCGAGACTCTGCGCCTTACACAGTGCAGCTCCACAGACAGACCTGTCCGCAGGGGTCTGCAGGCTCTGGCACCCAGGGCTGAGCCGAGCGCCATCTGCCAGGCAGCCGCCTAACCAGCGTGCAGCGCCCTTCAGGTGCTACGTGGTCCATGTCTCTACTAGACCAAAACTTAGCAAAGCAGAGAGTGCTCCTGCGGTATGCTACGATTTGAATATGGCTTGAGTTTGTCTCTAAAATCCCATGTGCTGGAAGCTTAGTCCTCACTGCTCTGGTGATACAGTAGTGGAACTTTTAACAAGCCAGGCCTGGTGGGAGGTAATTAGATCTTGGTGATACCACCTGCAAAAGGATGAATGCTGGTTTCCCACGGTGGATTAGTAGAGTGTTATAAAGACCCCCCATACACACACACCCGCACGTGCTTGGTCCCTCTGCACACAGCCAATTTCCTTTTCTGCTTCTCTGCTGTGTCATAACATAGTCAGAAGGCCATTGCTAAGATGCCAGGGCCATGCTGTTTGCACCTCTCGGCACCAGAATCACGAGTCAAATAAACCTCAGTGTAAGTTTCCCACCCTTTAAAAGTTACTGGGCCTCTGGCATTTTGGTATTGCAACACAAAATGAACTAAGACGCGCCGCCTAGTGTCACATCTGCTGTACAGTTGGTGTTCAGGATTTCTTTCTGAAAATGAAAGCATAATCTATTTTAATGTCTCTAGGGAGAAATTTATAACACTGATGCCAGTATTGGGGGGAGATGTTCAGATCAACGTCCTCAGCTTCCACTTGAACCGAGTTTTGAAGCTGGAGCGGAAGTTAGCTTGAGGAGGAAGAAAGAAGCATTTGCACACCACCTGCATGGCCTGGAGGGGAGGAAAAGTGTGTCCACTGCAGGGACCTATGAGTCACGTCAAGGCCCCGAGAGAGGGGACGCCAGGGAAGTGGGCGGGAGGTAAACCAGCGAGGTCAGGCTGGGGGAGCTCAGGCAGCAAGCGGGGAGCCAGGGGAGAAGGCGAGCCAGGGAGCAGATGCTCGCTCACACCTGAGTTTCAGACCAGAGTCCTGCTGAGTGACCTGGAGAAGCCCAGAGTGGGAGCAGGGAGATGGTTTTTGAGAAATTCCTGAAATCTAGGTAGGAAATAATAAGGGTCTGAACCAAGATGATGTCAGAGCACATCTAAGAGACACAGGTTTCAGCAGAGCAGTGACCCAGGAAAGCAGGAGCACAGGAGTAGTGAGCAGACAGGGCACAGCCCGCAGGCGTGTTCATCGCCTCCTATTGACCTCCTGTCCTCACACAATTGGGAAGAGAAGGATGGGCCGGGCATGGTGCTGGGTGCTTTCTGTAGCTCACCAAAGCCTTTCAGCATCTGCCTGAAGAGGCAGCATCACCCCCACTTTATAGATCAGGAACCCAGTGCTCTGGAACTGGCCGAATCCCACTCTGAGCAGCGTAGCCTCACCCACTACACCCTCTGAGGACTCCCAAGCCAGCTTCACTTGCATCCCTGAGAGTCCCTGGCCAACCCCTCAGCCTACTGGTTAGGTGTAGCCCTTCTCCTCTCCGACTCACCTCGTTGCCAGAAAGGTGGTACATCCTGGCTTCCTGGAGCAGCGAGAAGACCTCTGGGCACTGCCTGATGAGAGGATCGGCCTCCACCATGTCCACAAAGTACCACTGGTCCAGAAGCGGCAAGCGCACGTTCTCCAGGATGCAGGGGAGCAGGCAGAGACGTTCTGACTGCTTGTGCCTCACCCAGCTCATCACCGTCTCAAACACCTGAGCCTCCTCCGTCACGTACAGGTCGTCACTCTTCAAGATGTGGTACAGAGTGTCCACAGGAAGCTCAAGGAACTCCTCGGAGTTCAGAATCTGCACAAAGTTCTGAATGATGTAACTCTGAACCTGCTTCTTGAGAGTGTCCAGGGAGTGTGTGTCTGCCAGCCTCAGAATGCCCACACAGTTTTCCGGGTTCAAGGCTTCCGTGAGGAAGCTGGCACAGGCATCCACCATCCGCAGGAACTAACAGGAAAGAAGGGAGGCAAATCAGGCCCAAGAGTGATGAGACCACAAGGACGTTTGTCACTGAGCTGTGTGTAATCGCGTAACACTAGAAACAACCTTAATGTCCAACAATAGGGGACTTGCTAAATAAATGATACATTCATACAGTCAGCAGTTCTATAATCATTTAAAAATGCTGTAGAAGAATATTAATGTGGAAAATGTTCATAATGCATTGAGCTTTTAGAAATCTCATCACTGAATCGACTTAGCCTCTAGGTTTATTTATTTTTTTTTATTCTACAGGCTAGGGATTGAACCCATGGTGCTGAACATGACAGGCAAATGAGCTACCACCGATCTACACCCCCAGCTCAAGCTGTGGATTTAATCAGCAGTTTACAGGAAATATAGGAGAAATTGGAGCATGTTAATTAAATGACTCTTTAAAAATACAATCAGCGAAATCCAGACTATGAGAAACTTCACAGAACAACTGGTTCAGTGTCTTCAGCAAATGCATTACAAAGAAAAAATAGAGAGAGAAGGAAAAGAAGAACCTAAAGATAAAAGATTTGAGGGCTGGGGTATAGCTCAGTGGTAGAGCACTTGGGTAGCACGTGCGAGGCCTTAGGTTCCAACACCAGCAACACACAAACAGGAGGGAGAGAGAGAGTGTTAAGAGATATTATTGACCTACTGCAAAATATGAAATATGGCCCTTATTTGGATCCCTGACTTAAGCAACAAAATATTGTCAAAAAAATGTTTACAATGGTCTTATTCAGTGATACGGAGCAATTAATGTTAATTTTAGGTGTCAGAATGGTCTTGTTATATTCAAGGAAAGTTCTTACCTTTTAAATATGTACACTGAAATAGTTACAGATGAAATAAGGAAAGTCAAATGTACACTACAAGCCTATTTTTATAAAGAAAAAATATATAGAGAGGAAAAGATGGAAGGATAGGCACCAAAATATGAACAGTTGCTATCTTCCACATTCGCATTCCGTGTCCTTCGTGGACTCTTCGTTCCTGGACCCAGGATGAAGGAAATGCCCTAACCTGAGACGTGCTGTCCTTGTGACAGAGGGGATGAAAGATAGCAGTGCCACGCACAGGCCCTGAAAGCTTCAGAGGTGGCTCCTTGCCACTCCCATTCACGCTTAACTGGCCAGAGCAAATGATACGGAAAAATCTGTCACCAAAGGAACAACCACCTTTGCGCAGAACATGGTCCCACAGATGGAAGGAAATACATTTTATATACGTGGTAATGTAGAGCTGTCTCCAATTAGAGACATCGCACTCTCCAATTAGATCATAGGAGTTCTTCTATTGTTACTAATTTATATACTTTATTTATTATAGAGCCCCTAAAATAAATTAACATCATTTTTATAGTTAAAAAATGAATCTGTAAAATTACTGATCGGCTCCCACATCCCACTTTTCTATTATCGTCACACTCATAAGCACTTGAGTCGCTTATGCTTGGACAGCCTTTTGCAGATTACAAAGCGCTGTCAGTTCCATTGTGACAGTAAAAGCCACTTTCCAGAGGCGGCACCTCAAGTTCACACCATTTGTTCACACTGGTGCTCTCTGGAGCTTAGTGCTGGGGAAGCCCCATCTCCTATCTCCCTCCTTGCCCACCAGGCCCAGTAGGCACAAGGGCTCGGTGTGCTTGAGCTGGTCAGACAAAGGGAGAGGCTGAAGCCCTGGTGCTGTAGGCCGGTTTCCTAAGGGCAACATTCCTGGGGCAACACTGCCCCGTCCATGTCCACAAAGGACCTGGAAGGCAAAGGACAAGATCTGCCCTAGGATGCCAGTACAGAGAGATAACAATTGCTCCTATTTTGGTGAGAGGATGGGTGGGACAGTATGCAGAAGAGAGGCTCTGGTGACAGAAGGTGGGAACACAGGGCCATGGAGCTTGAGGGAGGCAAGGGAGGGCAGGACTGGTCTTAGACTAAACAGAGCTGACTGGGGTTCAGCCTTCCCACCAAAGCATCCTACAGGCACACATCCAAACTTCCTGTATCAATGCCCATTGCAAAATAGGGTCTTTCCACATCAGCCTGCAGCTTCCTCCTGTCCCTGAGGAAACATTGCCCGAGGGTCAATGCTAAATGGCAGCGAGCCTGGCTTCAGCCTCAGGTCTCCCTGTCTGTGGTTCCAACTGCCCACAGCCGGGCTCCTCGCTTGAGCAACTGTGGCAACGGTTGAGGCCGAGAACCCTAACACCTGTGTAGTTGTTTGCAGATTATGAGTTCAGAGAATAAAAATATACAGCCGAGGCCAAGCGTCACCGAGCCCTCAGAACCTGTCTCCAGAGCCCTGTCTGGCCGTGGGGGAGACGTCTATCAAACGGTCACCTCTGGTGCAAAAGGCCACACCCGCCTTTGTGGGAGAAGATGCTATGAACACTGAAGGGGCGTTTTAAGTACACCTCCTTCCTCTGTGTAGCTGCTCAAGACCTAGTAACGGCGGTTGCTCTAGGAAAGGTAACCTATGGCTGGGGTAGGGTAAGAGAGAGAATTGTTTTTCACTGTTTACCCTTTCGTACCCTCTCGAGTTATGTGTAGGAATTACCTTTTAAAAAGCAGATGAGTTTATTCAGGGACAGGGAACATACTGATGGTAATACACAAAATGCTAATCACAGTTATAAGTAATTTTTTTAAGACTTTGTCATAGAGACAAAGTTTTCTCTGCTGAACACGAATATTTTAAAAGCAGGCAAAATAGAAAAAACAAATATTTTCTTTTGATTTTTAAAGTACACAATGAGAAAATAAAATTAAATATAAAACTCAAACAAAGGACACCTATTATGTGCCGAATTCCTTATACTACTGAGCTATCCAGTCATCTCACCACAATAGAGTATATATTTATTCCTCTTTTACAGCAGACTGTGAGGAGTAATTACAGACTTACAGTTAAGAAGAGATGGAGCTCAGATTTGAACTGGTCTTCTCTGACCCTAAAAATGTGTGTTTTCCACACTATTTCGAACTACTTCAGGTTAAATAGTGTTGGGCCATCGGGAGCAGACACTATACTCGTGAGCTAAGTGTCTGATCTGCCCAGATGCCAGAAGGTCCAGCCAGCACGATGCCACACCCCAGTGAATAAAGAAGGAAGCCACAGAGAGAATCGAACTCAGGACTGAAAACCAAATTTGCTAGAAGAATTAATCCAAGTTTGCCTCTCTCCTCTCAGAAATTGTTGATTCGTCCATTCACCCACACGTTCATGTACCAATGCGCAGTGACCATCCATTATTTGGACATTGTCCACTGGTGCTGGACCTAGCGGTGGACAGAAGGAGACAGTGCCTGGGACACTGGAGCTGACGGACCAGGGAGGAGGCAGACGCTAGCCAAATCATCACACAAACGGCGTAAGATTATAACTGTGATCAGTGCTAGGAACCAAAGGCCAGAGATTCCACAGCTTGACAACAAAGTCAGTCACACTCCTACCTCTTAAGCCATGCACAATCGGCTCAGTCAGCGCCGCAGCCTCCCTCATCGAGCTCCAGCCACAGGCAGACCTGTCTCCTCTGTTTCTCCAAGCACTCCCTGTTGCATCTTCTGCGCTGGCGCCATCTCCTAGGCCAGCACAACCCTTCTTCCTCATCGCGAACCGTGAAGTCCTCCACCTCTCACCCAGACAAGTTTGATGCCAGAGCCCAGCTGTTTAAGGAATGACTGGGGACAGCTCATCCCATTTTCAAAGTCCCCTAATGGTCTACCCGAGACAGGAGAAGGGATGAATACCGTGCCTATCATTATACCTACACAGAGCTGTTTTCCTCACCCACAGTTATTAAATCTGGGACCCACCGTGGGCTCCAGAGAGTCTGTGAGCCCCAACAAACGTGTCCAAACTTTTGTGTGCACACTGTGGCATTTTTCTGAGAACTGAGCTTGCAAGGGACACCAACTTACTTCCTGGCATCCATTCCCCTGAGGACAAAGCCAAGTGCGAGAGAGACAGGGTCACATCGAGAAAATCAGAGAGAAACAGAGTTGAATCCGGGTCAGCCTGGGCTTGGAAATTTTCCTATCTCCAGACTTTGAAACTGTGGCTCAATCATTATGTAAGAAGAAAGGAGGGAAATGGAAATAGAGGAATGGAAAAGTAGAAAAATGCTTTCTACTCATGAGGGTTTTTTTCCTTTTTTCCTCCTTAATAGCTCTCCAAGTCCCAACGTGAGGTCAGTTCCTGCCCCCTCTGGGCAGCTCAGGTGTCCCTGTCCCGAAGCAGCTGTAGCATTTCTGCCTGTGCTGTGGTCAGCGGAGATGAGTATCTCAAGGGCAGCTTCTAGGTCACGCTTGGGTTTTTATTCCCAGGGACACTGGACACAAAGCCTGACGAAAGAGAAGGGACTGAAGGCAACAGAGGAAGGAAATATCTATCAGTCACCTAGTACGGGCTGTGATCCGAACTAGACCCCTTTCCATCCATTATTTCATTTAACAATTTTTTAACTCATAATTTTTAACCAATAAAAAAGAAAGGTGTTAGTATTACAATTCACAAAGAGGAGGAAATAAAGGATTCAAGATTAAGGATGCTGCCCAAGGGGGCGGGGAGGACTCTCAAGACCCCACTTTGCACACGTCCCTCACGGGGGCTCACACTGCCTTTGCAACTCACAGCACCAAGCTCCCAAAATGCTGAAGGGTCTGAAGAGGCCATAGGAGCGTAAAAGTGGGTTCCAAGTCACTTACATTCTCCAAACTGTGCTTTAACACTTTTGAGAGTGAGAAGTGTGAGGCAGGATCCCACGATTCGACAATTAGAATCTACTGATGTCCAGAGCAATTATGGAAACAAGAAATTAGAGGATTTTTTTTTAAATCCCTTTTTTTCCTTCTCTTCATCTAAGATTATTTAACACTTTTTGTCTCGTCCTGTCCTAGTGAAACACGAACTTGTTGTTAGTGCTGAGAGATGACAGATAATAACAGCAGGGAGCCAACTTCCTGTTTGGGGGGACA